GCGGTCCCCGCCCCACTCCCCCCCCCCACCCCCACTCTCTATTCTGCTGAGGAATTAGCTGAAAGAGACCTCCCTGGTGCCTAGGGCTGGGGAGAGGAGAGAATGGCTGGAGTTGAGTCCCTGCATCGACACAACCCAGGGAGGGGCCAGCTGTCCTGAGGCTGAGGCTGATACTTGGCATGGACATAGCGCCTAGACCCAGTGGCACCCGCTCTGACCAGACCCCCCACCCACGGGGTGCTCCTTGCAAACTGGTGTGGCCCATGGACTGAATTCTGCTGTCTATGGAGCTGCTTGGCCTAAGGCTCTGAATTGCAAGTGGCCCTGCCTGTTCAGCCCACGTTGTTGTCTCGGAGGAGATCAAGGCCCCAGGAGAGAGTCTTGACTTGGCCTGGAACCAAAGCTTTGGAGACTTTATTTAGCCCCGACTGTAGAAGTCGACGCCAGGCCAGAGCCAGCTAAGCCTTACTTGCAGTTACTGGCCCTACCAGAGTGACCTGACCTCTTGGATTTGGGGCCTCAGGCTGACACTTTCAGCCCAGCAGATTATGTAAAATACTGGGCATGAACGAGCCCCCTGTGGCTGCTGCCTTTCGTAAGCTCCACTTGGGGAGGAAGTGGGGACAGTGTCACTCAGATGGCAGCTTCCTTGTGCTGCAGGACTGGTAAGCAGTGTGGCACGGGCCCTGGGGGCCCTGAACTCCAGAAAACTCCCCTCCCTGGGGATTCTGGGTGTGTGGGCACCTCTGGAGGGCCATTTGGGGGCAGAGACTGTCTCCTTCACTTGTCTTCCCAGTGCTGGTCACATGGTGGGGAATGAGTGAATGGATGTTGAGCCCTGGTGTCTTATGGGATGATAATAGCTCCAGGAGGATTGAAGAAACAATTGTGAATTTCCAGATAATTCCAAGCCAGGGACAGGTGGGGTCTGAGGAAAGTGAAGACGGTCGGGTTTTGGGTGGTAACTGACAACAGGCCACCTGCTGGTAAAATGCACAGAATTTAATTTCACATCCTTTCCCATCACCTCCACCCCCATGCCAGCCAAAATGTCAGGGTGAATGTGGCCCAGAGTGGGGACTCTTGGGGGTGACTACTTACTGCCTTTTGAGGGGTTCTTTCAAGATTGGACTCTGAGGTTGGAATCTCATGAGGAGCGGGTCCTGCTGCAGTGGGCTGTCACGGGGCCTGACACAAGGGTCTGTGCTCATGCCAGGGTGGGTGGAGGCTTGGTGGGGCTGTGAGTCACCGCGTCTTCACCCTGGTCCTGGTCCAGCCAGCTCTACAGTTAAGCTCACATTGTGCTTAAGTGACTTCCTTGAGAGGATGTTTGCCAGGCCCTCAGGCAAATCCCCAGTTGGCAGGGAACGGGAAGGGAATGGGGCACAGGAGGGGGGCACTGGCCTCCAACGTGGAGGGCGAGTTCCCATTTGTCCGGCTGGGGAAGCAGCAGGTCTGACCTCGACCTCCACTTCCACCTCTAGGGCTGCTCCAGACTCCGGTCTCATTCCTTGGAGGGGGTGCTGCCTGCCGGCGATGCCCACAGCTCTGGGCAGCTGGCATTTTCCACCCTCTGTGCCTCCGAGGGATAATGATAACACCTTCTAGACTGTGGGATTCCAGTGAGTTAATCCACGGAAAGTGCTTAGAACAGTGCCCGGTACTTGTGAAACCATCAATAAATAACCATTGTCTCTCCCTAAAGCTTGGCATCCATACTGGTCTCCTAATGCTGCCGGAAACAAATTACCACACATTTGGTGGCTTAGAACAACACAGATTTATTCGCTTACAAGTCTCAAGGGTCAGCAGGGCTGCATTCCTTCTGGAAGCTCTAGGGAAGAGACCCTGTTCCCTTTTGCCTTTTCCAGCTTCTAGAGGCCCCTGCATCCCTTGGCTCCTGGCCCCATCCTTTGTCTTCAAAGCCAGCAGTGTAGCATCTTTCAGTCTTGCACTCAATCCCTCCCCATCCCCTTCCGCCTCTCCCTCTCCTTCTGTGGGCTCATAACCTTTTCTCTTGCCTGCCTCTCACGAGGACCCTTGTGATTACATAGGGTCCACCTGATAATGCCCAGGATAATCTCCCCACCTAAAACTCCTTAACTTAATGAATTTGCAAAGTCCCTTTTGCCGCACAAGGTGACATAGTCACAGGTTTTGTGGATTAGGAGGTGGACGTCTTTGGCAGGACCTTGTTCTATCACAGGATCAGATTACATTTCAGAGACTGGGAGAGGCAGCCTCCAGCACAAATTGCTAACTGGTTTGCTGATGGAAGGTCAAGGGTTAAGTCCTTCACCTGGGGAAAGGCAGGAAAGCCTGTGAGAACATGCTGGGGTGGCCATGCAGCAGGGGGAAAGCAGCTGTCCTTCGGACGTAGGAGATTTCTGGTGGCTTCAGACACTCTCCCAGCTTATGCTAAGGGTGTGCATTTGATGCCCCGGGAGGGATCTGTTTGGAATAGCATCCGAAGCTTGAAAAAGGAACAGGAGAGTGAGTTGATCATCAGAGCAGTGGATGAGACCAGAATTTGGTGTTCGAGGACCTGCAGGGGAATCCCAGCTCTGCCACTTTCTGGCTGTGTGGTTCTGGGCTAGTCTCCTCCCTCTTTTAAATCTTATTTCTTTGTTTCCATTCGTATAATGGAAAAATATAGTACCTCCCTCAGGGAGGTATTTGAGAGAGGGATGAAGCTAAATGAGAGAGTGGAAAGGACTTACAAGGCTTAATAAATGGCAGGTGCCCACATGTTAGGGGCATCACGTGGTGCTGGGCTTTAGGGGTGTCCAGAGGAGCGTGACGCAGCTGCTTCAAAGACCCTACAGAATCACCGGGCAGGTAACAAGATAGGGCACGCGTCAGGTGCTGCGGCGGTGCCACAGATTCTGACACGAGAGCTGACACTGCAGGCCAGAGGCTTCAGCTGTGTCTTCAGGAGAGAAGACCCCATGTGGAAGAAGGCATTTTAGGCAGCAGGGACGGCGAGAACCAGAGTTCAGAGGCTGGAACATTCCTGGCATGTTGGGAAGGCAGAGATCTGACGGCTGCTGGGGAGATTGGACAAGTAGGGAGAGGCACTAGGAGCCACTGCAGGTGTTTAAGGAGAGAATATGCTGAACCCCCATCACACTTTATAGTCATATTTATATTTACTCGGCTTTTGTGTTTTTTTGTTTTTTAACATCTTTATTGGAGTATAATTGCACAATGGTGTGTTAGTTTCTGCTGTATAACAAAGTGAATCAGCTCTACATATACGTATATCCCCATATCTCCTCCCTCTCGCGTCTCCCTCCCACCCTCCCTATCCCACCCCTCTAGGTGGTCACAAAGCACCGAGCTGATCTCCCTGTGCTCTGCGGCTTCCGCTTTTGTTTTGTAACGTCTTTCTTTCCCACTAGATTATAAGGCACAGGAGCATAGGGGCTATTGAATGCTTGTTTCCCGTTGTATCTACAGGGTCTGGTGGGCATTTGTTGAATGAATAAATAAATGAGTGAAGAACCTACTTGAGTCCCCCAGTAATCACATTTTGCAGCATTAAGTCTTTGACAAGCCTCAGGTGTAGGGTGGTGTTCTGGGAAGGTTGATCTGGCTCTGGTGAGTGGAGCGGAGGCAGGAGAGAGCGGCGCTTGGAATCCAGTGGGGAGTGGGATGCTGTGGGTCTCTACCACAGCAGAGGAGAGGGTGGAGCAGAGGGAAGAATCCTTGCAAGAGATGAGCAAGGACACTTTGTAGAGCTTGGGGACTCAGTGTGGCAGAGGAGGGGGAGAGAGTAGAAAGAGGGAGCCAGGAATGACTTGGGGATCTTAGGTGACAAGAAGAATTTTACGTCTTTTCACTCAGGGAAAGTTTTCAAGCACTTTCTCTGTGCCGGGCACTGTGCTGGTTGGTGACCACTCAAGGCTAAGTGGGGTATGATCTCCACCGTAGAGGAGAAGGAATTCTGGAGGGAGGAGGAGGCCTGTTGGCGTCTGTGCCTTATGCAGTCAGGCAGTCAGGAAATGCTGGCGGGGGTCGGGGGGTAACAAGGGGTAAAGTTGATGGCCCACAGCCAGCACCTTCCATTGTGGGATTGAACCCCCAGGGACAGGAAGATATAGTCAGAGGTGTAGCTGGAAGGCCACTCAGCCGGGGTTCCCATGCCCACTTGCATCCCATCCTCTCTATCCCTACTCCTCTCTGTTTACACATCACTTCCGCTGGGCACCTCCTCTGGCCCCTGCTGCGCCCTCCATGTGACCATGCCCTGCCTCAGTCATGACTCTGATTTCCCTTCTTAACTTTCTGTATCCCACCCCCCCACACCCCCATTAAACTGCTCCCACACATGGGGTCAGGATCTTTTTTATCTTGGTCACTATTATAAGGTTGAATAGGTGGATACAAATAAGGAAATGTGGGGAAAAAAAGGATGGGAGAGATTTAAAGCAAGACATTAGCAGTAGGAATAAGGGTGATTGTTTTTCCTTTTATATTTCTGCATTTTACAAATTTTCTATAATAAGTATTTGGCTTTTATCCCCTGCAAAAGTGTTAAAGAAGAGAAAAAAGGCAAGAAAACAGGCTGCCCAGGATTTTGGTCTCCTTTCTCATGAGCTGTTGGCTTTTGATCTGCTTTTACAGGTGGAAGCAGGGAAAGGCCTGGAGATGAGGAAGCTGGTTCTCTCAGGGTTCCTGGCCAGCGAAGAGATCTATATTAACCAGCTGGAAGCTCTGTTGCTGGTGAGTATATACTCTGGGGCCTTTGTGCTCTAAAACTGCTTTTGGAGTTGGAGAGGGAGGGGGACCTGGACCAGTCCTTCCCAGGGGCGGGGTCTGTGGTACTATTCTGCCTATGGCTTGGCAGCCAAGGTCACTGAAAAGGCCTCTCAGCCCCGGTTCTCCATTACCTGCCCTGGGAAAGGTGGAAGAAGAAACATCACCTGGTTGGGGGTGGTAGACACTCCATCATCCCTGACTATAGTGCAGGCATTACTAACGGATCACAGTTCTCTGTCCAGGTGGGGTCTTAGCCTCCGACTCCAGCTGGTACTCTGGGCAATCTCAACCAGTCAATCACGTTGAGACCTCTTTGTCATCCCTAGTCCCGTTCCTTCCTTCTCTCTGGAGTAGTTAACCATTCGCACCATCCTGAGGCCCTCTGGCCGGAAAAGTGAGCTGAAGGGCTGTCTGTGTGGTTCTGAGAAGCCCTGAGGCATTAGACAGGCTGCCGCCCTCTGTGAATGTGCCTTAGTTTCCTCTCCAAGACGGAGGCGTTGTTGTGAGAATCGGACTGAGAGGGGAATAATACAGTGTTTTCAAAAGGTAAAAGTAACCACACAGATATAAGATGTTTTTGCCTCTGAAGAAAGTGCATATTAGACGCGTCTGGATACTTACTATGCAGAGTGATTGTGGCATGTAGAGTTCTCTTCCTTGGGTGTTGCGCAGTCTGAGACATCAGCTGATGTGAGAAAAAGGAGGGATAAGAAAGGTAGATGTAAATCAGTAGATAGTCATTCTTACAAGAGTTGTAAGATACGCATTTATGTACTTGCTGCGATATGAGGTATTGTCACCCGGTGTCCCAAGGGACTTGCCATTTATTACCCCACGAGTAACTATTGAGATGTGTAGCTGCTTTGTAACACACTGGGATGAGTTGGTGGTCGATCTCACTGGGAGTTTGTTGGTCTGCACAGTCATTTTTTCTAAGGGAGGAACAGTTTGGCAGGTCCATAAGGACTCGGGTCTGGGGCCAGAGCCAGGGCAAGACTTGACGCTGCCATTAATAGTAGACTTATTGCCCTTGTCTTTCAAACTGTGCAACTTAACGATTAGTGGGTAATGTAATCCGTGTAGTGGGGGTGAACCAGCATTTTAAAACAAATGAGAAAGAAAATGTTGGCATATGCATCCCATGTAGTAAAAATAAGTACTATCTCATGCAACTTTTGGCTTGTGTGGATGTGTGTATGTACGTACTGGGCCACATACTTTCTTACATGCATTGTCGGTTTTAAGAACCACTGGTGGGACTTCCCTGGCGGTCCAGCGGCCAAGACTTTGCACTTCCAATGCAAGGAACAAGGGTTCAGTCCCTGGTTGGGAAACTATGATCCCACATGCTGCGCGGCGCAGCCAATAAGTAAGTAAGTAAGTAAGTAAGTAAGTAAGTAAATAAATAAATAATTTTTAAAAAAACCGGCTTTGGGCAAGCCATGGGTAACCCTCTTGAGCCTCAGTTTCCTCATCTGAAGATGAAAACAAGGCCATTACCTTCTCTCTCTCCTTCATGGGGTTGAGAGAATCAGGTGATCCTTTTGGGGACCTAGTGCAGTGCCAGGTACTTAGACACTGAAATATTATCCGAAGGAAGGAGGACAGACAGACGAAATACACCTTATAAACTATGAATCGCTGTGCCCAAACACAGGGGCATAGTTGTCATTACTTAAAGGATGCATATTTGAAAGACGTTCAAAGGAACCAGCCTCCCTGCTCCACTGCTTACTAGCTGTAGACCTTCAGCAGATTAATGAACCTTTGTGCCTCATTTTGTCCACCAGCAAACTGGGTATACTAATATTAGTACTCTCTTCATGGGGTTGTTGTGACGGGTAAGTGAGTTTGCAGGGGAAGCTCTTAGAGCCTGAGTGTGAACGGTTTCTATTATTTTCTCCTGTTCTGGGAAAGAGCGCAGGTTAGAGCTTGTTTGTTTGTATCAACCCACCAGTTCCCTGAAGGAAGGGAAGGTACATGTTCCCATCAGAAGCATGCCCCTTTTAGATTCCAGCTCGGTTCTTATCTGTCACTGGGCCTAATTTGAGTCCCATTTGTCTGGGTAAAGATAACAGACTTAGGGGCCAAAACACTCCCTACCTGCCTGCCTTTCTAACAGCTCACGCTCTCAAGGCAAAAACTGAGGCTGAGGCTCCCAGGCCTGGGGTGTGACCCAGGGTAGGTCCCTCCTCTTCCCCCCAGCTTGTTCATCCTGGTTTGGTTCCTTCTGGAGCAGAGGCAAGGACTAGGGAGGGACGAGCCAGGAGGCCTGGTCTGCACCTGGAGGCCCCTCCAGAAGAGGGGGCAGGACCCTCCACGGCCACAGTCTCAGATGATAAGCCTCAGAGATGAGGAATCAAGCCCTCCTCTCTCTCCTGGAGCTGGGTGCCCTTCCCAGCTACCCAGGAGCTAAGCCCTTTGCTCTTTGGGGTGATCTGACAAAGGCGTTCAGAGAAGAAAACCTGCCTTCCCCAGCTCCCTCCGCCTCCCACGCCCAGCTCTCCTTGCCACCCTACCCCCATTCCCGCAGGTCTTCTCCTGAGTGTTTGTTCTCGGTTTCACACTTCCTAATACGCAAACAGCTGGGCGCGTGTGTAGCCTGGACTGCGGACACACAGACGCAGACGGGGAGGCCACACAGGAGGCTCTGTTCCCGCCGCCTGGGTTGCTGGCTGGGCAAGGTTTGGTAACCTTCCAGAACCCTCCAGGTTCCTGATGGGCTCAGATGACAAGGGAAGAGAGTCTGGGAGCTGGGGCTGAGGCGGGGAGTGGAGGAAGGGGGCAGACCAAATGCACGTAATTCTGCAAGTCTCCGCAGCCTGCAGCTGAGCTGGGTTCTCCCTCTGGCCTGCCTCTGCCTCAGCACCTTCCAGCCCTGGGTCCCACCTGGCCCTCCTCTCTTCAGCTCTCCTTCTGGAGTTTGCTTTGCTCCTTATCTGTAAGATAGGTTCAGGACGCTCCCCTGACCCCTCCACCCCCGCCCCCAGCCTGTGGTGACAGTTAACAAAAGCACATGTGGCAGCCTCCAGGCCTCTTGGGATAGGAGGTGGAGGAAGTGGGCCGATTTCTTTCCCTGGTTTTGAAAAAGTCAAAAGGCAACTTGCTGGGGGACAGAAGAGATAAATGACAGTGTGAAGTCATGAAAGGAGTTCGAACCCGCCTGGCCCGCCTTCCTGAGGAGCACTTCATGGGACGCCCAGAGCCAGAGTTAACTCTAATAAAATGGGGAACTGGCGCCCCGTCCTCTGCTGCAGGATTCTGGGAAGGGGGAGGGGTAGCTGGTGAGCTCTGTCAGGAGAGCAGGGCTGCCTGTGCCTTTCTGCTGCCCTCCCCGCCCGAGGCCTATTTTCAGGCCTTCACCAGATAAAAATAACTGCCTCCAAGGGTCTCAGGCCAGCTGGGGGCACGCATCCAGCACTTTCCCTTCCCCCAAAGGCCTCCCCCCCCAACCTTGTCCTGAGAACCAACGGCCTGATGCCCCAAGCTCAGTCCCTGTCTGTGTGACCTGCCCCTGGTGAGCACCGGCGCTTCCCCTTTTGCAGACAGAGTGGGACTTCAGGAGGAAGCAGAGCAGTTGTGTCTTGTCCCTGCATAGGCCTGAGTGCTTCCCCAGCAGCTTCTGAGAAATCCTGACCACCCCGCCCCCGCCTTCTTCCCCAGGACTGTTCTCTCCTGTTTCCTTTATTCCCCCCCGGGTGGGGATTGCACCCCGGCTGGGACAGGGACTCTGCGGTGACTTGGACCCTCCTCCGGACCTGGGTAGATAGAGGTAAAAAGGATAAACTCTGACTGATCCCAAGGGCCAGCTCTGTATCCTTCACGGAACATCGGGAGCCTTGAGCTCAATGCCGCTGCCCACCTGGGGTGGGGAAAACATTCTTCCTTTCTCCTGGCCCCGGTTCCCTCTGTGTCCCTGCCTGGCATGCTTCCCCAGGCCCCAACCCTCCACTTACTCTGATATTCCCTCTGAGGCCCTTTCCCATCACCTCCTCTGTGAAGCCCTCTCCGAGCTGTGCCAGTTGGTTGGTATTTACAGTCCAAGTCGAGTAATAAGTGTATCTTGCTTTGTCCACGAAAATGTTTCATTTGTGTTGGTCCAGTTTACCCAAATAGATTATAACGTTGTCCGGAGCAAGGAGCATGAGTCATAAAAATAATCTCCTGAAGGGAAAATTGGACCCCGTCACTCCCCTGTTTCAATCCCTCCAGGGAAAGCCAGGTCATTACATGGGCTTAAAAGCTGCATTCCTTCCCCCTGTGTGATCTGGCCTCTGCTCACCCCTCCACCCCTCCTTTAGGGCCCTGCTCGCCAACCCCCTTGCTCGCAGCACACAGGCTCACTGGCTTGCTTCTAGCTCCTCTCTCTGCCCAAGCTATTCCCACCTTGGGACCAGGCCTTGAGGAGCTCTGCCTGAAATACTGTCCCCTTTGCCCCCATGCTTCCATTTCAGGTCAGTGTCTCCTTCTTGTCCTTCAGCAGGACTCCCCTTCTTATTTCCTTCATTGCACTTACGCGTGATTTTGTGTTTGATTGTTTCCTCGTGTTTTGTTTGTCTCCCCTACTAGATGGGAGGCTCCATGGGGGCAGTGATTAGTGAATCACTGAATACCCGCTACACCCCCTGGTCTGGCCTTACATGGGCACTTGGTCCATTATTTGTGGGGTAAATAGTAATAACAGTAGCAGATAACATTTATTGATTGCCCTCTATGTGCCAGGCACATACTCAATATTTTAGATAGATGATGGCTTTTGATCTTCCCATCAGTGTTCTTGAGAAGATAATATTATCCCGGTTTCACAAATAAGGCTGCTGAGGCCCAGAGATGCTAAGTGACTTCCCCACAGCTATTAAGCGGCAGAATGAGGACTCTGGCCCACACTGCCTGGCCTGCACCAGGTCGAACCCCAGCCTGCTTTCCTAGCAAAGGGCTGGACATTAAGGCCTCATTGGTTCCAGCACTGAGAGGGTCAGAGGAGGACTTCCGCTTTTTCCTGCTTTCATCATCACGTCTGGATTTTTTAGAGCTGGGAGGACAGGCGAGCCAGAAATCAGGGCATTGTCTGGGTTTTTAAGTAGATGGGACTTCCCCTTGTGGACAGACAGATGGGAGGATAGAGTGAAGCCTGGCTGGACATCCGGCTGCTGTGGCTGGCTCGAGCTTGGGGATCTTCTCTCAGGGTGAGCCAGCGATAACTTCGGCCTCCCTCAGTGGAGGTGTTCCCTGCAGTCCAGCACTGAGTCACCCATTCTCTGCTAGAATGCTTGCCTTGTTGAGAGCTCGCTACCTAATCCTGTGAGATAGTGGGGGGCGGCTCTAGTGAGCCCATACCTGCGCCTGCAACTTCTCCTTTCTGCCCTCTGGGTCTCCAGAATGACCCAGACTAAGTCAAAGGCCTCTTTCCACACAGCCCTTTATCTTCACAGTAGATGAAGAACACCAACCGTGTCTGACTCAGGCTTCTCTCTCTCAAGTAAACGTACCCCTCCCCCCCACCTCCCCACCCCCATGCCTTCTCTGTGGGGCAGGTTCCCAGACCCTCTCCCCTGAAGGGCCTTTGGTGTGCAGTCTGGGCATCTTTGGGGGCTTTAGGGCTGAAGGAAGGTCAATCATGGAGGAGCTCTTTATCCTTCAGTGTCATTTATTGTTTGTTTCAATGATTAATTTTAATAGCTTTTTTTCCTGATTATAAAATTAATATTTACTCACTGGAGGTGATTTAGAAAATACAGAAATCCCACTGAAGAAAATGTATCCAAGCCTCATTTTCCCTTCATGTTGGGCTTTAAGATGATGACTCCAGCTCCCAGCAAGTGTTGGGGATGGTCCTGAGCTTCTGTCTCTCACCTCACCCTCTCCACCAGCAGGCCTTGGAGCACCTAGGTGTAGATAAGCAGAGATGACAGATAGGGATAGTGCATGTCATCTTGCATGTCAGCCTCGGCATTGAGAAAGAGTCTGAGGCTACGACAAGGCTCAGTGAGAAAGGTCATTGTGATTGCTTAGCAATGTCTGCCATGGGTACAGGAGGTAGCACGGTGGCATGCATGCCACGCTCACTCTCTCTATACTAAGTGATGGGAACTTAAGATATCAGCGCAGCTGAGATTGGTTTGGGTCCCTTAGAAACTCTATTCCCCAAGTCCTAGAATCATGTTCTGTTTCTTGGAAGGAAATAGCTAAGGGGTTGAGTTCCCAGTCAACCCTCCTTCCCACTGAAGCATGACAAGGGAGTTTGTGACTCAGAGCATGAGGCCATTGTGGAAGAAAGCTATGGACCCTGTTAAACCATCAAGCAAACCTAGTACAGGCTGAGAACCAGAGGTCCCTCAGGGGACACGGGGTGGGAGAAATGTGTCCTGGCACCACCCCTCGGACCTGGTGGGACTGCTGGACCAGGCTCCCTCTTCTTACAGTAATGAGTGGCTTGTTGGGGCCTTTGACAGCAGCTGCTCCATTCAAACCACGCTTCAGGTACCCTGGCCTCAGTGGCCTTATCTGGGCAGAACTCGAGCAGCAGGAGGGCCTAATCTGGGCCCTGGGCCTGCTGACCCTCCAGTTAATTTGCCTCTCACCTCTGCTCTTTCTTCCCCTTCCCGCCCAGCCCATGAAACCCCTGAAGGCCACTGCCACCACCTCCCAGCCCGTGCTCACCATCCAACAGATCGAGACCATCTTCTACAAGGTCCAGGACATTTACGAGATCCACAAGGAGTTCTATGACAGCCTCTGCCCCAAGGTGCAGCAGTGGGACAGCCAGGTCACCATGGGCCACCTCTTCCAGAAGCTGGTGAGTCTCCTGTTGACGGAGGGCCCTTACCCGGGGCCCCAGTGGAGTTGCCGGTGTTGAGAGAGGACTGGTCAGCCCCAGACCTCCTGGCCTCCTTGAAGGCCTGAGTCATTTCTGAGTCCTGGAGGAAAGCCTGGGCTTCTGCCTTACGGGGAACCTGGGCCTGGTGCCCCGACTCCCGGCCTCCCCCAGTGAAGCCCTAGACTGCTTCTAGGGCTGCCAGAGACAGGCCACGTGGGTGGGTGCCCTTGGCAGGGCACTGTTTCTCTCACCTGGGGGCCCCAGGGCTGGGCTGCGGGGCCCTGTACCTCAGCCGGCAGAGGGGCAAGTGCCAGGTGGACGGGCAGGGACCGCTCACCTGAGACTTCAGACGCTCGCCTCACTTCCCCGCTGCCTGTGAAGTGAAGAGTCGGGAGGGAGACCGTGTCAGCCAACGATCCTCTCCTGAGGACCCTGGAGCAGGGAGCACTAAGAGCCCAGCCCGCCCGCAGGGCAGGGAGAAGGGCAGAGGAGGTGCAAGTAGCGTGCGGCCTTGGTCGGGAACGACCCTCTCCTCTAGCTCGGTGTCCGTCTCTGGCCGCGTCCCCTGAGGACCCCCAGTCACACCCACAGGGCCCCCACCCGGCTCTCCGCCACGTAACTTCTGCCTGTCCAGCAGGCGGGATGGAGCTCAGGAGTCTGTGGCCCTGTCCTCTGGGTATGAGTTTGGAGGGGCGGGGGGACGGGGAGCAGTGCTGCTCCGTTTCCTCCCCTGCAGTGGTGGGACATGTTGAATGCACAGGGCTCTGCTTTCCTTACATGGGGAAGACTCTTGCTTGGATGCTCCTAGGCCACAAGCTCAGCATATGCTCAGAACTGAACTCATTGGCTCTGAAGTGCTTTGCTCTTTTCCCTGCCTGTGTCTCAGTGGGTGCGGCCATGTCCCAACCCCCGTCCATCCATGACTCCGGGGGGCTCATCCTTGGCACCTCCCCTCCCCCACCCCCTTCCACCTCCCTGCATCCCATGGAGTCCACTTGTTTAAAGCTCACAGCCACCTGCTTCTCTCCAGCCCTCTGGCGCCCTCACCTGGACCACTGCTGTGGCCTCATGAGTGGCTTCTGCCCCAGACCTGCCTCCCAGGCAGCCTCTGGCCTCTACCTAAAAGCAGGAGAGCGTTTTCTAAACTCCTGACCGGACCTCAAGTCCCCCCCTGCTCAGGGATTTGGATAAAGGCCAGGCTCCGAGGAGTGGCTTATGAGACCCTCTGCTGCTGGCCTCAGCCCCACCCTCTGTGCCCCCGACGCGGAACCTTCTGGTCTCAGTTCACACTGCAAGCACGCTTGACCTCTCTGTACTTGCGCTCTAGCCTGAAATGTCCTTCTCTGTCTTATCTGGCTTCTCTGGTCAGTTTCCAGTTTAGAAAATTGGAATCCTCCTCCGTGGAGTAGCCTTGCACAGCCTCTGAAATGCAGCCCCTATGCTTACCCCCTCCGTGAACACTAAACTGCCTGACTCCCCAGAACCATAAGCTCCAGGAGGACAGACTGTATTTTCTTCAATTTGGACCCCCAGAACCAGCCCAGTGATGAATACATGAATGAGTGAGTGAGGGAGTGAATGAATGGGTGAATGAGTGCACCGTGTCCTTGAACCCTGGGACCAGGGAGAAGTTGGAAAGGCACTGGGGAGACATCACAGGACCTGAGGTCTGTGTCCTGAGGGACAGCAGTGTTACAGAGATGAGCACAGTTTCTAGAGCCAGATCGCAGCTGGGTTTGAATCCGGGTTCTGCCACAGGTTAAACTTGAGACACTGGGCAACTTACCCAGCTTCTCCTGACTCAGCTTCCTCATCTGTAAAAACGGGGATAATAATAGTATTTACTTTATTGGATTGTTGTGAGGACTGAGTGAGTTAATACCTGAAAAGTTCTTGGAACAGGACTTGGAATATAGTAAATGAGTAAATACTCAGTAGTTAGCCATTATCATTACCGTTATTACTATTATTACTGCTACTATTATTATTATTAGAAAGAAGCACCCCTGAAAGGCATTGTTGCCAGGGAACTCCACACTTCTGGTTCTGGCAGCCCCAGAGTGCTGGCCCCAGTTCAGGGATGATGAACGCCCAGTCATCACTGCCCGCCTGGTCCAGGAGCCTGAGCTGATTGGCTTGGTGGGCAGCCTCTCCTCAGCCCTCAGGAGGGCAGAAGAGAGCAAACCCCGTTGGGGTAGGGGGGGGCGGGGGGCGGTGGTAGGAGTGAGTAGCCTGGAGCATAGTGGAAAGGCTGTCCCAGTTTATCTTTGTCACTTGGACCCTGCTGTCACCAGGCTTCCCCGTTCTGGTCTGAGCTTCACTGGCCTGGCTATGAATTTGCTACCCCCCTCTTCCCTCCCCCTGCATCATGAACTGATGTCTGAAGCCCCAGGGGCTACAGGCTTGGGAGGAGGCCGGGCAGGCCAGGCATCTGGAGACAGTTTATTTTCAGCTGGTCTCCGGGTATTTGATTATCCATTACTGAGAGAAGGGAATTAGCATCTCTGTTATTTGTTTTATGGCATCACCCCAGTGCCAAGCTGCTGTTTCCAAGCAACCTCCACTTCCCAGTTAATGGCCCTGGTAGGCCAGGCCTTGGACCCTGCAGACTAAGGTGCTCCATGGAGATGGCAGTGCCTGGGATGGCCGGTGACCCCTGCGCACAGGCCTTATGCCCAGGTGGCTTCTGCTTCTGGCTCACCTCCGGCTACTCCCTTCTGTAGTGGGATAGGAGGGTGGCGTACCACCCTGAGCACCCAGCCTTTATCTTTCTGTGGGAAGGGGGACAAGGAATGTGCACACTTAGAAGAATAGCAATGATACTTTGGTTTAGGAAGTGACTGGCTAGCACATCCCCTGTAGCTCGGGACACCAGTGGGCCAGCACTCCGTCTGGAAGAGGAAACGAACTCCATCCCTTCCCGCCCCTCCCCATCTGGGATTTTCCTTTCTGAAAAGTCTGGCCCATCTGGGGCTGAGACCTGCATGGCTCTGGCCCTGGCTTCTTCACAAGCATCCCAGCTCTCACTTTCCCCTCTGGCTTTCCTGCGCCCCACCTGCCAGCTTCCTCAGAGTTCTGTCTCTGCCCTGGGTGGCTCCAGGTCCCCTGCCCACCTCTTTGGATCCTTGAGGAGCACAGGGATTCTGCAGAAAGCAGAGTCGATCCGGTGCAGGGCTCAGGGGCAGCCCACTTCCCCCCTCGTACCTTGGCGGGTAGAAGCCTTGCAGCAGCTGAACATCCTTGCTACGTCATTGGAAAAAATTTTAACCAGAAAATCTAGAGAATAAGGTAGCAAACGATGGTGCAGTCACCTCCCAGAATTAACCGATGTTAAGCTCTGAAGATATATGGAAAGACTTTTCAGTCAAGAAAATAAAGCATTACGGATGAGGATGAAGTCTCTCTCCCTTTCCTCTTGCCCTTCCTCTCAACCTAGAAGCAGCTACTGACATGAATTTGGTGTGTAGCCTTCTAGGCTGCAGTTCGTGTTTTTGCTATGCATATATATCTTTTCATGGCATTGCATGTACTTTTAAAGTATACATAAGTGTGTCTATATGTATCGTATGTTTTGCAGTTCAATCAGCATTCATTTTGAAACTTGTCAGTGTTGCTACACAACGATCTAGTTCATCCATTTTAACTGCACTGTGTGTATGGGTTCCTCTTGTGAGCATTCGTTTCCAGTCTTTTCACAAAAGAAAGAGTGAGGCAGGTAAATACCCTTGTTCACATTTCCTCGTGCACACACATATTCAAGTTTCTCTAGAGCAGTGCTTTCCAGTAGAAATATAGTGCGAGCCACGTATGTAACATAAACTTTTCTAGTGGTCTCATGGAGTAAAAATAAACAGGTGAAATTAATGTTAAGAATATATTTTATTTAGCCCAATAGAGTCAAAATATTATCATTTCCACATGTAAACAAGATTAAGAAATTAATGAGATAATTTACATTCTCTTTCTCATACTAAGCCTTTGAAACCCAGTGTGTATTTCGCACTCAGCACATCTCAGTTTGGACTAGTCACATTTTAGGCGCTCAATATCCAGGTGTAGCAAGTGGCTCCTGTAACGGACAGCATAGCCCTGGGGTCTGTTTGCAGAAGAGGATTTGCTAAGTCGTAGGCTAAGCTGTGCATATTTTCAGCTTTATTAGTTATTGACAAATTACTCTCCAAATAATTATACTGATTTACACGCCCGCAAGCAGTCTGGAAAAGTTCCTGTTTTCCTACATTCTTTCCAGCCCTTAACATCATTAGACTTTTAAATTTTGACCAGGTTGACGGGTATTAAGTAGTATCTCATTGTGGTTTAATTAGAATTTCCACCCTTTGCTCTGGTAAGAGGAAATGTACATGCAGAGCACAGAGAAGGCTTTCCATAAATACTTGCGGAATTGAATTAACGAGCCTTGGTTTCCCCTTTTGCAGAAAGGGCTGATGGCATCTGTCCTGCCTCCCCAAGGAGGCGACAGGCTCTGTGTGGTCCGAAGCTGTGGAAAGCTTTGTGTTAGGTTCAAAGCGACACGCAAATGTGTAGAGAGGAAGGACCTCTGGCTCCTTGGAGGCTGAGGAGGTGGGGACGAGGACCTCGAGGGAGGCCAAGGGAAGTGGGGACTGTGCCTTTAAATACAGTTCCCCACACTGAGCATGGGGAGTGGGGCACTGAGCAGGCCACATGTGCCCACCCCTCTCCCTGTCTCCCCCTGCTTCAGCTAATTCCAGGACGTGAAAGATGCGTGAGGCATTAAGGGGCTTCAAACCGTGCGACACTTTGATGATGCTAAATAAAGCCAAATGCTGCAATGAACTGAGTTTTGGCATGCCAACAAAGGCTGTGCCCTGCTCCCCCCAACCCCCAATGCCCCCTCGTTAACCTTATTGGCTGAGCCAGTTTCCATGGAAACTACCAAGTTCAAAGGGATACTGTAGTATGTTCACCCTGCCTTTTCCTTCTGCTCCCAGCTAGCCACTTGGACTGAGTTAGAGGTTCTGAGTGCTAAGGGAGCTCCAGGTGCTCTGGTCATGCTTTCATCCATTCATGAATCCTCTCTCCCCATCCCTCTCCTGCCCTTCTCTCTCTTCTCCCTGCAGGCCAGCCAGCTTGGCGTGTACAAAGCGTTTGTGGATAACTATAAAGTCGCTCTGGAGACAGCTGAGAAGTGCAGCCAGTCCAACAACCAATTCCAGAAGATCTCCGAGGTGGGCAGCTCCCTGCACAGCCACCCCTACGACTCGGGGTTTGGGGGGCTGCTCAGAGCCTTCTAGCCTTAGGGCCTCTCCTCCCCTGCTTGCCAGTGAGGAAATTGGTTCCCCTGATGAGTAACATTTAGCCTGATTTGCTTTCTTGCCCGTGACATTTTCCCTCCTAACGTAAGAATATCGCTTTATGTATGATTTTGTTATTCTGTTTTAGGTTATTCTGCATTAGAACAGGGGAAGCAAAAAAGGAAATTAAAAAGGCAGCATTCTCCCACACTGTGGTGACCTTAAGCAAGTCACTTCCCTTCTCTTGGGCTTATTTCCTCTGCTGTAGAATGAGGTGTCTGGATTGATCCAGCTCATCCCAAGCTTGCTCGACAAGAACCACCAGGGGCACTGTTTAAAATGCAGATCTTCAGGCACCTTCCCTGGAGCTTCAATTCAGAAGGGTTGGGGTGGGGCCCAGGAGTCTGTATTTTTAACAAACTTCCCCAGGTGATTTTTATCATCAGGAAGATTTGAGGGAGTCTGGACTAGGTGATCTTTTAAGATCCTTGCAGTCCCATAGAGAGCGGACAAAGGCCGCGTGGATAAGAAGCCCTGGACCTTCTGGCTGGGAATATTCCTGTCCCTGCGGCTGCAGCCCAGCCCTCCCACCACCCTCCTCCTCAGGGTAAAGATGTGGCATTGTCTGCCTCCGACACTTCTATCCAGGACGTGGCAGGGAAGGGCTCCAGGATTCCTCAGGAGCACAGCCCAGCTCACCCCTTGAGCCAAAAAGATCTCAGGGATACCCCCCAACCCCCCCCTCCCAACCAGGCCACTGGCTTTACAATCACAGCACCCAGCTCCAAGCTTGGGGCAGGAGAACCTCTGGTTCCAAGGAAAGGGAGCTCCTTCTGCAGTTTTGGAAGTCCTGCCTTATAGGCCCCTCTGAATCCTTTGCTTTCTCTCTTAGCTCTGATGCTGGAAAAGTTGGTGAGGTGCAGGGTAGTTTTCGAGAAACTACTGGGGTTATAAGGGTTATACCCAAGTTTGGAATCAGCTGGGAGGCAGTACAAGAGTAGGGCAGATGGAGATGAAAATGTCAGCTTGATTACTAGTCAAAGCCGGATTGGAAAAATGTGGACATGGATCTGTAGCCACACTGGATTTGCTAACACTTCCCCTCCACGTTCAAACACATCTATTGGGGGCAGAGAGAGGAGGGCTGAGCTCTGTTTCTTCTCCCAAACCCAGGGGTCAGGTGAGTCACCCTCTGCCTGGGAAGACGGAGTGGAGTGAGGGGTGGGAAGGTCCCTCTAAGTGGAGCAGTGAGGCTGGAGGAAGGGTGTTCCTCTCACGGCTCCCCGCCCTCCCTGGGAACAAACTGGGTTTCCCCTCTGTGTTCAGAGTGACCCTGCCAAGGCTGCCCGGGTGCCCGGGGTCATGTGTGGTCCAGAGAGTGGTTGGGGGGTTCTCATCTTAGCCTGGGGTGACTGCCTGTTCTCTGTGGTTGGCAGAAACCCCTGTACTCTTCCCCAAGCCCCTCTCATAGCCAGCTGGCCCCAAGGGCAGAGCGAGGCCCGTGGCCTGCTGTCAGTGGCTTCTCACCCTGACTCATGCGCAGACGCCGTCACTTCCCACTGGTGCTGCCACTTAATTACTGCAATTAGGCCCTCCTCCTCTGCAGCAGAGCGATTTCATACCTCTAGGCTGCACTGGAAGGGGACATGGAGAAAAATTCCCTAAATCTGGGAACCCAGACACAGCCTTGAGAAGCTGAGTAACCTTCCTTTTCCCAAGCCCCACACCCCAGGCTCAGTCCCTGGGGGTTTTCTCTGTCTAGAAACAGCTTGAGGCAGGAGTAGGAAGTGTGGAGCTCCCACTGCCTGGGCATTGCCTCCCAGGCAGAGCAGGCAACATCACCTGGTACCTGACC